GTATATTATGATCTGCTCATTTTCTATTTGTTTCTTTCGCGCTTTGTCCTTTTTCTCTCTCTTGTTCTATTGCTTTTCGCGCTCGTCATGAACTCATCATTGTTGTCATTGTCCTTTAATTACGATATAAAAAGGAGAGTTTGTTTTATTCATCGATATTGTTTTCTCTGGCATTGAGCTTGTCGTACATCGAGGCATCTCAAGTGGCACTCCTGGCTGGGCAAGTTGATAAAAGTAATTATTAAATGATTAAAGTCTTCACGCCAGAAAACAATCAATAAATATTTATTATTTCAATATATCTCATTCACTGCAAAATATATTAATATATATATATTCATAATCGTCAATTTAACAATTACACTATTCGTGCATTGCTTTCGTTGTTGTTCTTTTGATTCACAAACATCTAATATGTCTACTGGTGATGCTCATACACAAGATCAACTTGCTATTAATTATGATCTTGTTGATTCAGCGGCATCTAACCTAATATTTAATCGATCAACTATTTCCAAAGCCTCACCTCAACCGATTAGTATAGATTTTCATGAAGTTTTACCTGAACAAATTCCTTCCGTCGTCAACGTTATGAATAATGAACATGTATGTAAAACAAGTTCTTAAGTGCGTCTTCTTGAAGACAAAATTAACAGTCAACAATGTGAAATAATTAATTTGCATAAAATTATACGTGATCTTTCTAATCAATTTCATCAATTCAAATCAGTTGTTAATTCACCAACACATTCTCCTATTTTAGGTTCTCGTCCAAATTCTGCTCATAATTATATATATGATCATGATACACATCAACATGATAGCATTTATCCATCTACTTCACCACCATACATTCAACAACTACATGAAACTTCTACCACATTACCTGCTAAAGCAACATCGCCAATTAACAATAATACATTAACCAGTGCTGCTCAAATACGTTATTTACAAGAAGCGTTATATAAATCGAATGCAGCACTTGAACATCGCGATACTGAAATTAATAATCTTCGGAAAGAGATCCATGAAATTCGTGATTTTCAATTAATTTCGGGTAAAACTTCTCCAAATGCATCAACAAATATTTCACCACGAGCAGTTCAAAATTCGCATACGTTTGCATTTGTTCCAATTCTTGCTACTGATAAACCTCAACCAGTCACTCTACCTACAAATATATTTACATCACCATTAATTATGCCTTTTACTATGTCGTTAACCAATACTTTACCTAGTTTCAGTGGTAAAGAAGGTGAAATGCCAACAAAATTTATTACTGAATTTGAAATTCGTGCATCGGGTCTTGTTGGTCATCATGATGATTATTTACTTCGTGCAGTTCAACAATCTTTATCTGATACTGCACTTACGTGGTATATTCAAATACAACAAGAACAACTTATTACTAATTGGGAACAGTTTAAACAATTATTTCTTCGTCGATTTCGAACTCCAGAAAAAATTGAATTATTGCATGGTCGATTACATACATTGTAGCAAAGTGATAATGAACCAACTGCTGATTCTTTTGAACGACTCAAAGCATTAATGTCGGAAATCGAACCTCAAACTTCTATCAGAGGTCCAAACAGGCCCACTTTTTGAAGGCCTGGCCGGCCTGTAACAGGCTTACATCCCTCCTAGCCTGCCTGTGCCTGTTCTCTGATTTCCTCGACCTGACCTGCCTGCCTGTCATTTTCTCAGGCCTGCCTGGGCCTGCCTGTCTAGGCCTGTGTATTTTTTTCACGTTAATATTATGGTTAAAATACAGTAGAAATAAGTAGTAATCTTCATAAAAGGTCATACTAGCCACTGAATTCAACCTACATAACTATAGTAAAACGTTTCTAATTGAAAAATCCCAGAGAATTTTCAACTTTCCATTAAATAGAGGTGTGATCCTTCTTTTTATTTGAGAGCATGTGAAACTAAGGATAGAACAATAACTGTCCACTT